ATTATTATTTCAGCTGAAATATGTTTTAATATTAAAATGTTAGTGATAAATCTCCTGCAGATGTCCATGATATAAACCAGTTGCTTCCCAAAATCTAGTCTCTCTTAAGTAAGTCCAGAACAGTTTTGCCATTCATTTCAGTGAGTCCATTTTACATTGGAAACTTCTTCAGATAATGTCCTGTACTGAGAAAACTCTTCAATAATTACAGACGGACTTATTAAGTTTATGCAAAAGTTCTTTTCTGAGCTCAGTCCTAGTGCTGTTAAGCTCTATAATTGCTCTGTTATTCACAGATTTAAAGCGTATTTACCAAGGATTAAGTAGAGGTTATAAACAGTAGTAACTAAATAAATATTGTTGCCATTATTTCCAACCAAGACTAAGAAGAGGAGTTTCAGAACTGGAAAAGTTACAGTCAGTGTCAAAACACTGACACAGGGAAAGCTGAGCATTTTTATTTCTGTGTGGTGGCAGTTACATGCAGCAGATTCCATAAAAGTTTGAGAAAACTGTGTCCTTCAGTGCTCCCTCTACCCCCGGATTTCCAGTGTTCCAGTTCAGAAGAAACCTGATTTTTCATGCCAGCAAAACACAAAAGGTACTACTAAACAATGGCATTGTTTTAATCTCAGAATGCCAAGCACTGCATTGTACCAACAACATTCATAGACATGAAGAAAATAGGTTTTCATAAAACCTTGGTGCTGCATTTAGTCACAAGGCAAGGAAATCCATGTAAGAAATTGAAAATCCATTTTATATTTAGCATCAGCCTAACAGGATAATGTGGCTACAGTTTACTATTCTTCAGACTGATGGAGCTTTGCATTGTTTCACAGCAAAGGCCAAGCTTCTTAAATAAGTCTGATCTTGCTGCTTTTGCAAATAAGCTGTCTTAAGGTCAAGGGAAACACTTCCACTTTCTTCTTTTGGTAGTTCATTACCTGTGGAGGTCTAATGCTGCTCCGAGGAGGACAACATGAAATTTTCTGCTTTGTGTGTTTTAAAGAAAGGGTGCCTGTACCATTCTGCAAGACAAAGGTGGATTACAGCAATCTATTACAGCCTCAGTATGTCCCGAGGAATATCATTTTATTCATATTACAAATCATGTTTACTGTCCTATAGGAGTTACAACCATTCTATAGAGAAAACATTTAGCTTAAAATAGTACTCTCTGACTTGACCTAGCATCTTATCTCCAAATCCCATTTGGGGAGAAAAATGAGAGCTTCATGTGATAGTAAAATGCAGTGATGCTTTAACCAGATGCAGAATATAAAATGAACACACCCTGAAAGTTTCAGTGTAGTCTAGCTGTCATCCCAGTTTTAAACTGATCTCCAATATTCCACCTGCAAATAATACAGAAGATATTAAATGAAATGCATAACATTTTTGGTGCCAAATTTTCAAAAAGTGTCCACCTCCAATTTCTTTTTTAAAATAAGCTAGAATGTTGCCATCTGTGAACGTGAAGCTGTGAAAGTATGAATCTAAAATCTGTCAGCTGTTCATCAACATGCTCATGAGAAAAAAATGCAAGCGACAGAAGGCTCGGTTTTGGGGAGGAGGTTGCAGGGGGCTGGGGGGAACATGCATATTTTGCCAGAAGGCCACACGTAGACCATGTCTCGGGGTGCTTCTGTAGGCTCATGCTGCAGAATCAGGAGCTCTGCACCGATCACACCTGGCTGGAGCACACCCCGGAGTTCCCGCGGAGCTGGCGTGTAACGGACCTGTATCTCTGGGGCCAGGAATCAGACACCTCTGCGATTTCAATGTATCCCAGGAATATTCAGCTAAGTAGGAGGTAAATGCCAGTAATGGCACACTGGCTAGGTACACTCAACATACAACACTAAGATCTCAATATTTGCTCAGGAGCCAACTCTCAACTTTAAACCCCACCATTTTTAAAATAACTTGTATCTTTAGAATTTAAATAAATAACAAGCATTACCAAGGGGAAAATAATGTATTATAAAAATATTATTAAAACTTTAACCTGATAGAAATCTTTGGGGTTCTTTTGTAATTTCTTCTCACTTGGTTAGTATTCAAAGCCTCTATTATGGAATCATTCAAGCCACTGCTTGTAATACCGCGTAGTAATAGATTCATTTTCTCTTTCTAGTCGCAGTTTTCCATTCAAATTTCCTTTATCTGACTTCTGCATGATTTATTCTGATGATAAAATTCCCCCCTCTTTCATACAGTTTAATTCATTCATGACTTTTAAAATTCATATTTTCACATTAAATACGCTGGCAAGTTTGCTCATGTCAGATTGGTCCCTCTCCCCCTCTAGTTTTCAGTAACCCATCTGAACAGAGGCTTCCTTAAATTTCCTTCTCTTTTAACATTTTCAATTTAATCCAGCCCTTTTGTAAGAGAACTTTTAGGAACAATAATTGTTTCACACATGAAAAAGCTCCCTGACACACAGCATGATATTAATTATGATTAGCTGCATGCTTCTTAGCAATTCTGGCAACAGTTTACAGTACACAGCTCTAACACTCATAATACAGTGTCCCAACATTTGCTGGAACAGCAATGTTTTCTCAGTGCTGAATGAGGCCCCGTAAGAACAATAACAACGTTCAGAGTCTGAAGGTCCCATAATCTGCTTGTCTCCACAATACATCACAGCTTTCAATCTGTGCCCCGACCTCACGGTTGCACTACTTTCTCTTTCAAAAAGATGCTAAATTTTGACATTTTTTCTTTGCCACTTTAAAAGGTGAACAAGCAACAGCATAATGTTCCTAATTTTGTTAACAGCTGCATTGCTTCTAAACTCGTTGCTTGTTTAACTCTATCTAGTTTTGAACTCTAACCTTCAATTCTTACTTATACAAGGACTAAATAAGTGTTCAGACTCTTAAAGCAGGCCCAGAAATTCCCACAATTGTCTCTTGGTGAGTATTTGATCCACAGGATACCCACATTCACACAGCATCTTTCTTCTTGACCTAAAACTCCTTCCTCCAGGAACAGTTTTGCTCCTGCAGGACTGCAGACCTCTGGGGAATTGGACAGATCTGTTCTGCATAAGCACATAGCATTGTGAGAACCCTCTTCACAAAATATCATTATACCTACTTATTTGTACAGGATGGCCAAAAGAGGAAGTGAATGTAAATGTGCTGCCCATCCTTTACATAGTATCTGAGACATAATGCATTACCCTAAAGCATGAAGTCTAGGTTCAAAGCTTTCTTCAGTCTGAGAAAGTTAAACCTTGATGGCCTACCTCCCATGAAAATGTATTTTCACCCCTTTTTGGGTCCAGAAGCAGGGGAAGAACAAGAGGGGGCTAGTCTTTGAGGGCTGGTTATTAAGCCAACTCTACCTCTTAGAACAGTCAGACTTGGGTTGTAGTCCCAAGACACGAGAATAATTAACGGACTCACCATCAGATTGTCCTCCAGGTGTGTTTTAAAAGAAAGCATTTAAACATGGGATTGGTTCTCTAGGGGAAAAATAAGTAGCTGCAATCAGGATATTCTGGACTCAAGGTCCTGCATCAGTGGATGTCCATCCAGAGTTAAGCTCCTTACCATCCGGAGACAGCAGAAGACGTCAGAGACCATCTGGTCGTCAGTGATTTCTACAGCCTTGCCGAACACAGTGCATCATCTTGTCTGCATCCCATCTGGGGCTTCTCACCGTCTCCATGTATCACTGAGGCAAGCCAGACACCTCTCTGGGTTCTGCGAGGCAGACATCAGACCTGCGTGACTGGAGTTGGCTGTGAGCCTTGTCCTGGATAACCACTACACCTTTTCTTCATGTGGGCACTGCTCACAGGTCACAGTCCAGTCAATTTTTAACCTTTGGGTAAACTCAGCACATTAACCTTTTGTGGTACATCACTATAACACATTTTACAAAAATTGAACACCTCTTGATCCTGTTTTCTGGAATCTTTCTTACTTTCCAGTACCTTTTCCAAAATATCGTGGTACCAGCCTCTCAGGTCATGTGTACGGTTGTACTTGCTCCCTCACCCCTCTCAGACACCCTGCTCATGTATTTGGGGATTTCACTGCTTGCCCCAAATAGAGGTTTGTGTTAGGAGTTTTAAGCAGCCTTTTACCACCACCTTTTTAGGTTGACTCCACACCAGGATGCAATAAAACTGTCTTGAGTCTGGTAAATAAACTATCCCAATTACAACTTCCGCATGAAGCATGGGGTCATTAACATGAAGGAAAATTTTAAACTGTTTTAGAAACCAGCTCATGCCAGTCATTGAATTAGCTCCTCATGTAACCCGGGAAACTGGTTTGAGAATTGGGATGGCAGGCAGGGGACGGATACTGCTAAAGGCTAAAAAAAGCGCATGAGCCACTTCACAAGATATGTTCCAAGTTCCTCCCCAGGTCTTTTGCCTTTTATTCTCCAATTTAGGTATTACATTTCCACTGGTTTCCACCAGGGCTGTGCATGCACCTTGACATGTTCACAGAAGTTCCACAATACAGAGTTTCACAACTGGGACAGGTCCCTACAATTGGGACAACAGGGTGACACAAGAGATTCTGGAGAACTTCCCACTGAATGGGATGGAGAGAACATAATTACCACATTGTAGCACTAGAATGCTTCATAAACATAGAATAGATTAGATTTACTACAAAAATCACATAAAGTAACAGTTCAAAGAATCTCTCTTTTATGTAAAATATACATTTGTAAGATATAATTTTAATACAACTTTTATACTTACTGATGTTGGGTTTGCAACACTAAATTAAAAAAAAAACAAACAACCAAACAACAACAACAAAACCAAAATAGACTTGCTGCCAGAATTTTTATTTCTCATAATACTTATAGTTTGAGGTAACAATGAAAGAAGACTGTGTGCTGTGAACAAAGTCAGTGATGTTTGTCTGCAGTCACATTTCTGTTATCAAAGTGAAAAGTAAACTTAAGACTTGGCATGTACACTAGAATTCATACAAATACAGGTCATGGCAAACTGAGAAAGCAAGGACTTATGCAAACCTACTCTGTTCATATTTGTGACCTTTGCAAAATACACCATTATTATGACAGAAGTCAAGACAGATGTAGTTTACAACACTATCATTATTAATTGTGTGTCTTTGTATGATTCACAGCACAATTTACTGCAGGAACCAGGAATAATACACACAGGGGTGCAGGTCTTTGCATGGAGCCTTAGCAATGATGACTTGAATTCAGCTTTCCTTGATACAGATAAAAACTGATATTCCATGCACACATGTTTTATTTACAGCTGACTCATCAACAGTGACTAATCACCCCTTCCTCTGGCAGCAGTAATTACGAGCAGTCTTTAATCTTCTTTAACAAGCTCTACTTCCCATGTAAAGTCTCAGTGACCTCCTCAAGGCGTGAGTTGTTTATCAGGGCCCATTCAGCAGCAGCAGTCTCTTTCCAGTACAGTCCTTGGTATGGCTAAATTCCATTGTCCCTTTTTCAGCAGTCAAAAATCCATGATAAATTCTGTACAACACTGTAGTTAATATAACAGCAGCACCAGATATTATATTAATTCCTTTGCTAAAAGCTGTTTGCACTTATCTCTCTATTGACAAAATTTTACCAAAACTAAATCAATGTACATCTTTAAATATCAGAAATGTATACTTTGATAAATACATTATTGTACAAGAATTCTGACATGCAGGTCATGCTATTGGGCTAGGCTATATACAAAAGAACATGTTACATGGTCAACAATAAGTTATATTTCTCTTCCTAACAAAAATAAAACATGACAATCAGGGATTATTCAACAATCTCAAGGACCTCTTAAAATCTGGGTTGTTCTTCCCCATGTAGTTTTAAAACTCTACGGTTTAGGGTAATTTTTCCTCACCAGCCCAGAACATAAAATCTGCCATTGCATTTGTCCTGTTGCATAAACAGAGGTTAATATTGAATGAAAAAGCCACTAGAGGAGATAGATAGTTTCAAAACTGTAATGAATGTTGGTTGCTAGGAGGAAGACTGATGCAATAGGCAACCGGCCAGTACTGTAAAGCTGCTACTAAATCCCACACAAAAAATCTTCAGAGTGCTCACATGAGTAAATCTAGATGATACTAACTTGCACTTGAAAAATATATATATTTGTATCTATACAAAGAAGTATAGTCCATATGAAAAAAGAGAAAAGGAGAAAAATGTCCTTAGTTAACCTTAAAAGAGGGGGGCATTTTAACAGTATCTCTGTGCTTTATGGAGACAGATGGAGAATACAGTAGACATGTTGCAAAACAGACAGACAAACAACATATAGGACAAAGCACCTCAAAAAACATTGACTGAAGAAATATTTGAAGCTCATGAGCCAGAGGTATAAGGCTGGTCAAAAACCCAACTTGAGAACTACTACCTTCTTACAATGGTACAAAAAAGCCCCCAATAATCTTCTCAATTTTATTTGTTACTCAGCCTCTGAAAATGTTGAAGAACCCTGGAGCAGAGAAATTACTACAGTACCAAGCAGCACTTGCTAGTTTAAAATTGCAAGTCTGGATGGCATTTACCTTTCTTGCATGTTTTGTGCCTTCCCCAAGCCATTAAGAAAGAGATCTGGCTTCTGCTTGCGTGTAACCAGTAATGACAACCTCTTTGCAGTTATCTGTGTGCAAACAACCGGAGACATTCAGAACTCTGATACAGCAATCCAGTACCAAAGTTAATCACAAAATAAAGCCATTTATAAACAAGTAGATAATTAAAAAATAAAGGAAAAGATTAAACAAAGAAAAACAAT